CGTGCATGCGCAAGTTGAGCAGTCAGTATGAAAGATTGTAGACGAATTGATGTATTTGAGTTATGGTGGTGGAGGAGAATACTGAAAGTGCCAAGGACTTCCAAAAGAACAAACAAACTGTGTTGGAAGAAGTACAGCCAGAGTGCTCAATTAAACCAGGATGGCCAGACTTTGTCTCTCATACTTGGGACATATTATCAGGAGGGACCAGTCCCTGGAGAAGAATATCATGTTTGATAAAGGTGGGGTCAGAGAGGAAGAAACCCAATGAGATGGATTAGCACAGTGACAGCAGCAATGGGTACAAGTTTAGCATGATTGTGAGATTGGCAAGGGATCAGGAAGTGTTTCATTCTGTTGTGCACAGGATAGCTATGAGTCAGTGCCCACTCGATGGCACCTGATAATAACACCAACAACAAGAGAAATGGGTAGAAAGATGCAGAAGGGAGGAATATTTTTGGAGAACTTTTTACTTTTGGAAGGAACCAAAAACTAAGAGCAACCTATAGGAAATATTCAGAACTGGCACAAGGAAGACATAAGACAAGCCTTGATCATTTTACTATATCAGAATGAAGTTCTCAAAAAAATAATGGAATCATGTCACAAGGACATACGATTTGTAGATACTGGCCCTACCTAAATCTGAGACAAGGTGAGTGCTGAAATAACAAATTCCATTACTGAAATATGTTGTAGACCACAGTGAGTTGGTTCCAAATCGGCTTTGGACTGCAAACCACAAGGTCAGGAGTTCAAATCCACCAGCTGCTCTTTGAAACCCTAAGCAGGGTTACTATGAGTAGGAACTGACTTAAGAGCACTTAGTAACAACAGCAATAGGGTGTCTGTAAATCTTTATGGGAACTGAAAGACTTATTTTTGTCTTGTGGAGCAGCTGGTGTGCTTGAAATGCTGACATTGTGGTTAGCAGTCCAGTGCTTAAGGCTACTTAGCCACAGTGCTTCCATTCTGAAATATAAATCAATGAAAAACATAAAAATCCATGAGTCCAAACCAGTAGTAAATAAATGAGTATATTAAATCAAGGAATGTTGTGGTTGTTGCTTTTTGTTGTTGTTATTAACTGCTGTCTAGTCATTTTCTGGAGTCCTGGTGTGGCACTGTGTGCCAGACTGCAAAGCCACAACCTTGAACTACAAGGTTGGCAGTTCAAGCTTACTGGCTCCTCCTTAGAAACCCTATACAGGGTCGAACCGACTCGATGGCACATCACAACAACAACAAAGTTAATTCCTACTCATAATGATCCTGTACAAGGTTTCCAAAGAGCAGCTGGTAGGTTTGAACTGCGAACCTTGCAGGTAGTAGGCCAATGCTTATCACAGAGCCACACCAAGTCATTTCTTACTCAAGGGACCTTATGCACAAAAAAATGAAACACTGCCCAGTCCTGCACCATCCTCACAACTGTTGTTATGACTGAGCCCTTTATTGCTGTCATTTGTCAATCCATCTAATTGGGCTCTTCCTTTTTTTCACTGACCTTCCACTTTACCAAGCATGATTCCTTGTCTAAGGACTGAGCTTTCCTGACAACATTTCCTAAGAATGAGACAAAGTTCCTCCTCGCCATCCTGGCTTTTAAGGAGCATTCTGGCTGTGCTTCTTCCAACAGATATTTACTTGTTCTTCTGGCAATGCATAGTACTTTCAATACTCTTCTCCAACACCATAACTCAAATGCATCAATTCTTCTATGGTCTTCCTTATTCAATGTCCAACTTTCTCATCCATATGAAACAATTAAAAATACCATGGCTTGGGTCAGGTGCACCTTAGCCCTCAAACTGGTATCTTTACTCTTGAACACTTTAAAGAAATCTTGTGCAATAGATTTGCCTAATGCATTTGTTGTTTGATTTCTTGACTGCTGCTTCCACTAGTGTTGATTATGGGTCTAAGCATAATGAAGTCTTTGACAACTTCAAACTTTTCTCCATTTATCATAATGTTATTTATTGGTTCAGTTATGAGGCTCTTCGTTTTCTTTACATTAAGGTGCAATCCATACTGAGTGCTGTGGTCTTTGGTCTTTTCATAAGACTTAAGTATTTTAAGTCCTCTTCATTTTCAGCAAGCAAGGTTGTATCTTGTATCATCTGCATATCACAGGTTCCTAGTCTTCCTCCAATCCTGATGCCATGCTCTTTGACATATAATCCAGCTTCCTGGATTATTTGCTCAGTATACAGGCTGAAAAAATATGGTGAAACAATAAATCCTGGCTTATACATTTTCTGATTTAAAACCATTCCGCATCTGTGTTCTGTTTGAACGATTCCTTCTTGATCTGTGTACAGGTTCCTCTTGAGCACAATAAAGTGTTCTGGATAACCCATTCTTCTCAATATTATCCATAGTTTGTTCTGATCCACACAGTCAATATTTTGTATAGCCAATAAAGCACAGGTAAACATTGTATAGTCAATAAAGGTAAATTGTATAGCCAATAAAGCACAGGTAAACATCTTTCTAGCATTTTCTGCTTTTAACCAAGATCCATCGGACCTCCCTTGTTCCACATCCACTACTGAATCCAGCTTGAATTTCTGGCAGTTCTCTGTTGATATATTGTTGTAACTGTACTGTAAATGGAGTATATGGTAGACTTGAACTGCTAACTGGTGGTCCATAGTCCAACACATAATCCACTATACCACCAAGACTTTCTCTCACTCTATGTATGTGTATATATATATAGACATAGATAGATAGATAGATACATGTATTCACAGGGAAAGTTTTGGTGTGGTGCTGTGTGTTGTATATATATATATATATATATATATATATATATATACACACACACAACAATAGAAGTTAAAGCTGCTTCTGTACAATCAAATACCCCATGGGATTTGGTTCTTTGATTTGTAAGGTTAGGGCCATGCATTCATGGGACAGTCCAGTAAACTGGTCTAACAACGAGTTTAGTGTTTTTGTTCTACTTGCTAGTTTATTGCATATTCCCTGGGGTCTTAAAGCCTGAAAGCAACCATCCAAGGAATAACTGGTGAGTGTCAAAATAATTAAGTCCAGTTCTGAAATACAAAACAATGAGAAACATAGGAATCTATGAGTTCTTATCAATTTAAAAAAATTATATTAGCAATGATGGGAAAGGGAACGAGCTAAAAACTGGAACAACTGAGGAAGAGGATATAGATGTGTGGTCGGTTGCCTCCTTTGCCATGGCACTAGAAGAACTGGATGGTACCCAACCACCATTGGCGAACATTTTGATCAAAGAATACATCAAAGGATTCAGGTCAAGAGGGGGGAAATGAGGAACAGCATTTAAAATTATCATCAACTCTAGACTTTCTGAAGCCAAGGGTGGTGGATGAACCCTAAAACATATTGTCCTGAGATTGTCTTTAATCTTAAACCAAAAATGTCCCTTGAAACCTTCTTAATATAGAACATGAGTTTAGCTTAACTAGTAAAAAATAACCTGCTGTGGCCATTAAGCTCCTTTAAGAATTATCCATATGGGATCAGACTGGCAATGGTAACTCCAAAGGTTAGAGAGGAATCATAGGGGGCAGTGAATTTATGTCAGTGAGGGAGGAACATCTTAGTAAAAGAAGGTGAGCGTGGTTGCACAGTTTGAAGAATGTAACCAACATCACTAAATGTTATTACGTAGAAACTGTTGGATCGGTGTTAATTTTGCTGTATATATTCTTAACAACCAAATCAAGTTTAAATAAAAAAGTGAAAGGGAATGAAGGATTGTTTTAACCAATTTTATGTTAATGTAAAAATATTTTATCAATTTATTTTAAAAAATGACCTAAGGAACCTCAATTAGGTAGAATGAATAAACAACTTGAATCATCAAAACAAAACTGTAGACTTTAGTAATATCAGTATCATGAAAGTTAAAGAAAGGCTATGGAAATATACCAGACTAAAGAAGATTAAGGAGTTCTGGTGTGGCACTGTGGTTAATGCGCCAGACTGCAAAGCCATTTGATACTGCAAAGTCGGCGGTTCAAGCTCACCAGCTGCTCCTCGGAAACCCTATACAGGGTCACTATGGGTCAGAATTGACTTGACAGCACTTAACAACAACAATAAAGAAGATTAAAGACCCATAAAAATTAAATGTGAATACACTTTAGAATAGATCCTGCATTAGAGTGAAAAATATTGTTATAAAGGACAGTACTGAGCCAGTTAACTATATATATATAGTACCTGTACCAT